GACCCGCCCCAGCTGCCGGCGTAAATCGGGGTTCGCCCCCCCATCGCTGGAGCCGGCCCCCGCCGAGGGTTGGACCTGGGTGGGCTCCGGTTGACCCTGCTCGCCCTCCGCTTCCACGCCTGGAAGAAACGCCGTCAGACTCCCAAAAACCCGAGGGATTCACCCCAATTTGGAGGCTCCCCAAAAAATCCGAAGGAATTCACCCCAATTTGAGGGGTCCTCAGATCCTAAGGAATTCTTCCAAATTTGAGGGGTTCCCAGAAATCCTAAGGAATTCACCCCAAGTTGCAGGGTCCTCGAGGGATTCACCCCAATTTGGAGGCTCCCCAAAAAATCCGAAGGAATTCACCCCAATTTGAGGGGTCCTCAGATCCTAAGGAATTCTTCCAAATTTGAGGGGTTCCCAGAAATCCTAAGGAATTCACCCCAAGTTGCAGGGTCCTCAAATCCTAAGGAATTCACCCAAATTGAGGGGTCTCCAAAAAAACTAAGGGATTCATCCAAATTTGAGGGGTCCCCAAAAATCTAAGGAATTCACCCAAATTTGGATGGGTCCTCAAAACCTAAGGAATTTGTAAAAATTTGGGGGATCCCCAAAAACCTAAGGGATTCTCCCAAATTTTTAAGTTCCCCCAAAATCCGAAGGAATTACCCCAATTTATGGAGTCCTCAAATCCTAAGGAATTCTCCCAAATTTACGGGATCCTCAAAATTCAAGGAATTCACCCAATTTTTAAGTTCCCCAAAAACCTACGGAATTCTCTCAAATTTTGAGGTTCCCCCCAAAATCCTAAGGAATTCACCCAAATTTACGGGGCCCGCAAATCCTAAGGAATTCTCCCAAATTTGGGGAGTCCCCAAAATCCTAAACGATTCACCCAAATTTATGGGATCCTCAAAACCCAAAGAATTCACCCAATTTTCAAGGTCCCCAAAATCCTAAGGAATTCACCCAAATTGGGGTCTCCCCAGAAAACTAAGTAATTCTCCCAAATTTGAGAGGTTCCCAAAAATCCTAAGGAATTCACCCAAATTTATGGAATCCTCAAAACCCAAGGAATCCATCCAATTTTCAAGGTCCCCAAAATCCTAAGAAATTCACCCACATTTACAGGATCCTCAAAACCCAAAGAATTCACCCAATTTTTAAGGTCCCCAAAATCCTAAGGAATTCACCCAAATTTTGAGGTTCCACAAAAACCTAAGGAATTCTCCCAAATTTACGGGGTCCTCAATTCCTAAGGAATTCTCACAAATTTGAGGGGTTCCAAAAAATCCTAAGGAATTCACCCAAATTTACGGGATCCTCAAAACCCAAGGAATTCACCCAATTTTTAAGGTCCCCAAAAACGTAAAGAATTCACCCAAATTTTGAGGTTCCCCCAAAAATCCCAAGGAATTCTCCCAAATTTACGGGGTCCTCAATTCCTAAGGAATTTGTGAAAATTTGGGGGGTCCCCAAAAACCTAAGGAATTCACCCAATTTTCAAGGTCCCCAAAATCCTAAGGAATTCTCCCAAATTTACGGGATCCTCAAAATTCAAGGAATTCACCCAATTTTTAAGTTCCCCAAAAACCTACGGAATTCTCTCAAATTTTGAGGTTCCCCCCAAAATCCTAAGGAATTCACCCAAATTTTGAGGTTCCACAAAAACCTAAGGAATTCTCCCAAATTTACGGGGTCCTCAATTCCTAAGGAATTCTCACAAATTTGAGGGGTTCCAAAAAATCCTAAGGAATTCACCCAAATTTACGGGATCCTCAAAACCCAAGGAATTCACCCAATTTTTAAGGTCCCCAAAAACGTAAAGAATTCACCCAAATTTTGAGGTTCCCCCAAAAATCCCAAGGAATTCTCCCAAATTTACGGGGTCCTCAATTCCTAAGGAATTTGTGAAAATTTGGGGGGTCCCCAAAAACCTAAGGAATTCACCCAATTTTCAAGGTCCCCAAAATCCTAAGGAATTCTCCCAAATTTTGAGGTTCCCCCAAAATCCTAAGGAATTCACCCAAATTTATGAGATCCTCAAAACCCAAGGAATTCTCCCAAACCAAAACTCTTCCTCACGCTGGGACCCCTGAACCCCAACTTTCACCGAGAGGCCAGCGATGCTTTCGGGGTGCGGGAGGGTGACGGGGTGCTCTCGCCCTTCCAGGGTCCCCGTGTCACCGAGGGAGGGGCGGAAGCGGGCGATGGATCCCTGGGGGGCTGCAGAGCCAGAGCAGACGGCGCTTTTTGGGGGTGACGGGGAGGAGGACGCCTACGACCCCCTGGTGATGCAGAGTAAGTGAGGAAGATGGCGGTGGTGGGGGGATCCTTGTTGACCTCCGGCCTTGGGAAGGGGATGGAGACCCCCTCCGTGGGCATCTTGGGGTGTCCCCCCCCTAGATGGAACCCACATCCTTGGTCCTGCGTCCCAAGGACGTGCTGAGAAGCTCATAGCTATGGGGTACACCAGCCCAAACCTCTTGATGGTCCCATGGAAGGGGGTCTTCAACCCAAGGACGTGCCGAGAAGCTCATAGCTATGGGGTGCACCAACCCAACCCTCTTGATGGTCGCAAGGGAAGGGGGTCTTCATCTCAAGGCCATGCCGGGAAAGGGGGTCTTCATCCCAAGGCCGTGCCGAGAAGCTCATAGCTATGGGGTACACCAGCCCAACCCTCTTGATGGTCCCATGGGGAGGGGGTCTTCACCCCAAGGATGTGCTGAGAAGCTCATAGCTATGGGGTACACCAACCCAACCCTCTTGATGGTCCGATGGGAAGGGGGTCTTCATCTCAAGGCCGTGCTGGGGAAGGGGGTCTTCATGCCAAGGCCGTGCCAAGAAGCTCAAAGTTATGGGGTACACCAACCCAACCTTCTTGATGGTCCTATTGGAAGGGGGTCTTCATCCCAGTTCTTCCCCCCTGGGCTTGACCAGCCCTCTCTGCTCTCCCAGGGACACCGAGCGACCCAGAGCCGGACCCCCCGCTGGCGGGCGA